AGTAAAGTATTATTTTATCGTGGATCGACGACGATCGAAAGAATATTGTCATATCTGTMCTATCTTATCCTATCCTAATATTTTTCCGTAGTCCTATTGAACTAAAAATGACATCGATTTGTACACTCAATCGGAATTTATTCCATGCCTCATGTGTACATAGGTAAATATATTACTCTGAATTCTGAAAGGTGCTTATAATAAATACTTTTTATTTTTTTTATGGGAGGGGGGGTATAGCCGTATAGATAAAATGTTAAAATATTTTATCCCCCCCCCCACAAACATGGCCAAATTACGCCACTGCAAGTACACAAATAAAAAGACGGCTATTGAAGGAATGAATGTATAATTCAAGATAATTGGAAACATTATAACTCAATATCAATTCGTGTACATTCAATATATTTTAATATTTTACGAATTCTTTAACAACTTAAACTCGAAAACGTATAATAATATCATATAATACCGGTATTAAAATTTAAAATAATATTTTGTTRACTAACTTAATTATTACAAATTGACATGACATGATATAACTTAATATGTTTTTTACTATTTGAAAATATTATATATACCTACCTATATCATGCTCAACTAATAATGAATTCATTTTGCATAAATATATATTCAAGATTATGTTTACCTATGTATAGATAGATGTATAATGCGTATATCGAGGATCGAATTATCAATACATTCATAGTTCATGTTTTACATGTAATATTTAAAAAACGTAAAGGTTTCATCGTGTAATATCAAGTTATTTGATCTATAGACTATAATACATTAATACTATAATAATATTTTAATGCCTACACAAATAATAATACAACAATAGGAACACCAAAAGGTTGTGATGTTCAAACATTTTAAAATGTTTGCTTGCCGCAACATTTACTGTTCGGCCACGTTTCAAATTTCAATCACTGCAGTCAGGCCCGAGGACTTAATAAACATTTTTGATCACCCTCTCATGCAGTTTTGAACTGCAAAATCTAACGAAAATCATCGAGGAACTTGAAATCCTGGTGGTCGTCGTACGGGGATGATCGACTATCGACRATAAAAACGAGACAGATGCGTGCCTGCACGACGTGSTACATAATACATTTATAAATATTTTAAATGTGTGTATTCAGCTATACCTAGGACCACGCTGATTTTACTAGTCCCAACGATCGAAATAATAATATATAAATATATTTATCGCCTTATCGGACTATCAGAGTACCTATTTATCGAATGAATCCCCTCAATCCTTATAAATTATAACATTTATTTAAATGGGTTTGAGGGTCCTTTTGTGCGAGCCGGTGACATTAYAATATGATATYATAATATAATACACGTATAATAGTACACGTGTTATATTATACTTTTCAGTGCGTCCGTTCGATACTTCGATTGTTAATCGCACGGGGCGTAAATGTCGATGGTGGTGTAGAGGTGGAGTAGGACCGTAGGGGTTACGACCCGGGAACGAGATGAAAATAGAAACGTCACCCGCGGACAGACCGCGGCATTGTGCGTGAAAAATTTAAAATCAGCGCGTGATCGTTACAATTGTCGGACTTTCTCCGATGCTCTGATAACTGATCACAGGACCCATCCAGGAGCCCCCTTAATGTAGAAACGATAATTCAGTTTCTGTATGTATAGACGTATTCTGGTATCATGTATATAGTATATACATATTGTATTATTGTATATGTATTATGTATACACAGAGTGGCGTGATCAAACAAATATTTCGTTTCGTCATGGTCACATACTCGCATGTGTCTAGGCGATATACTATTTTTATTATGTAATCTGTGACCTGTCAATATCGTTTTGAAGGCTGGATATACTAAACGGCATCAAAATATATATTTAATAAGTTATGGGATTATATATTTTACATTTTTAAAATTTTTTTACATGACGTTTCCTTCGATTTTCGAACGACTTATATGCATAAACATTTTAGAGGGAGTTCGAGCTGTTGAAACGCATTAAGATAAAACAATTATTATTATCGAACCACTAGAAATTATGTGAAGAACTTTTAAATGTATATATAGTATATTATATACCTTGTAGGGTATAACACTGTCATGAAATAAAACGAGATTAAAATTGCATATTTAGGCTTATAGGTACTCGTGCGAGTTTGGACGTTTGCTACTCATAAAAGTAACGGTTTTGTTACTTTTTGTATTTTATCATGTATCATATGTATGATTTATATGAAATGTAAGTTRTATTATATTTCATCACAAACACATTTATAGAAAAAATATGTGTCTATACGAATTTGTTTGCATTATTTTTTAAGGCAAGCTGCAAGCTTAGTTTTAAAAAGATTTTCAACCCCATTATATAATTTTCGTCTTAAACACTTTAATGTGGATGTCCACCTATGATGGGTAGGTGTAAGTCTTTTAATTTGGAAAATCTTAAGTTCTGCAATTAACCATTTAGATAAGACTTAAGCGACCTCAGTTCAATCAATTAAACGAGTTTGTACCCTTATATAYATATTACTTCTTATGCAGACTTTACCCGGACTTGGAGACTGGCAATCACCCGAGCAATCGTCCAACCAGAAATCGTTACTTTTTTACAATCATACTGAGTGCGAATGCCAGTCAAGAACGGACGACTTGATGCCCAGAGACACGATGCCGACTGCTGCCATGGTGACCCCCGATCTCCCAACGCCTATCAGGCACAGACCAGAAAAAAATAATCAAAACAGGTAAATCAAAAATTTTATTATATTAATAAGTAATACAAAACATGCAGCTTTATAGACAGCTCTGCAGTCTGTGCAGGCGTACAGCTTGCTAGATTTAGGATTTCATTAAAAACAGCCACGTAAGGCTTATATTAAAGTAGGCATTATAATACTTTTTACATAATATATCCATTACCGAGACA